TCTATACACATCCTCTGCATACACCCAGACCTACATAACAAACACAGAATTAAAATGGCACGTCAACTCAACATGTCAGTTTTGGTAAAAAAAAAATTCTCGATTCCGAACACGATGTATCATGATTTTACAACACTCTTCACTGCAAACTTACCATGGGCTCAACCAGCTCGCCGAGGTGGTACTCTTCCATGCTCTGCGGCGGCAGGTGCTGCAGCATATCGTGCCAGATGACGGGGGTGACGGGGGAGCCACGGTACGAGTACTTGCCGCGTACATACGAGGCCACGCGCGCCACGTGGCCGAGGAAGAGGTTCTCGCGGAGCACGGTGCGGCAGCGGGGGCACTCCCCCATCTGGAACACCTCGTCGCAGCCGATGTGCAGGTAACGCACCCCCGGGTGGAGCTCCATCACCTGAAGAGGTAAAAAAGGATATTACTAGCAAGAAATCTGTTTGCAGATTTAAAGGTCAAACACCAGATGTTGTCTATCGTCAAACTGGTCGATGTGTTAAGACTTGCCTGGTCAATCATGAGACGCACGAAGTCCATGCTCGCGTTGTTGGAGGGGCACAGGGCCTGCGGGGACTCGGGCACCTCCCGCAGAGACGAGTACTTGGCGTGTTTCAAAGCGAACTCGACATGGCCGAAGGTTTGCACCAGCGGCATCACCTCGAGGCCGTGGTCCTTGGCGGCTTGCAGGATCTCGCGAACCTGGACGCGCGAGTAGGCGTTGGTGGCGGCCAGCGGCTCCAGGGCGCCCCAGAAGGGAAACGCGTCCTCCCACTCGAGCAGCACCCCGGTAGCGCCGAGCTGCCGCAGCAGGCCGAACACCTTCCGGAGGTAGGCCACCTTGGGCGGGGCACCCTTCAGGTCGAAATGCGCCAGGCGTTGCGGCGGCACATAGGGCCGCGCCTCCCCGGGCTCGGCTCGGCGCTGCGCCACCGCGTCCCGCGACGGCTGCTCGGCGCGCACGGCCGCGACCGCCGCCACGGCCGCCGCCTCGTCCGCACCGTCGGCCGCGGCGGGGACGACGGGGACGACGCCGGGGCCCTCCGCGGACTGCAACAGGACGCACGGGATAGAGACGACGCCCTCTGGCACGATGGGCAGCAGCAGAACGAGGGGTACTTCACTTAGAAAAGTCAATGTACACCCTCCACAAAAATTTGAAAAGATAAGAATGAAAAATTGCAGAAAAATCAATTTAAAAAATAAGAAAAAAAAATCAAGATTAAAAAATCATTAGAAAAGAAAATCAAGAAAAATTGGCGCACGCTTGAATTTATAGTGAAGTACCTTCACGGCTTTCCCAGGCCTGTCGGAACGCACCTTCACGAACTTGACGCCGGCGTCCGCCTTCCCCAACGACGCCCGGTCCGGCGCGTCGTTGCCGAGCGAGTTGGACTGGGCCTGGGCCTGGGGCTGCTGCGAGCCCAGCGCGTTGTACTGCAGGCAGAGCACGAGCAGCACCAGCGCGCCCGCGCCCAGCAGCAGCGTCGACTTGCGGCGCCACGCCGCCAGCCCCAGCCGGCCCGCTACCCTGCCCGCCACCCGCCCGGCCAGGCGGCCCGCGTGCCCCGCGTCCAGCGCCATCCTGGACCTAGGCCGCGGCCACGGGGTGCTCTGCGGGGAGAAAACAACCAAATTAAAACACTTTCCATGCGGGGCAGGTCTCACTTCAGTTCGGGGATCTTATTTTTCATCAGAGACCAATGAAAATTTTAAGGTAGACTAATGGCAGTGCTAGGACAGTTTAAGGTGGGTCCACCACTGCTTAAGGACACGACTAATACGATGAGACCTTGCGATTTTTTGAGACTGATTTAACATTTGCATTGCAGCCTAGCCCAAGCTGAGCCTCAATCGATACCCAACTCCAGAGTGCTCGACGTTTCCACGAGTAAGAACGCCGGCCTTTGCGGCTGTACGTCCGGGAGGCCCGCGCACGCCGCCACCGCAGCAACCGCGAAGCAGATAAACAGGAACTGCACCCCGTGTACGTACGTTTGTGGGCGGGAGGGAGTGAGTGCGGTACATATGATACGGATGCGTTGAGTGAGTGAGAGCATGATTGTAAGAGCGAGTGCAGCACATATATGATGTGAGAGTGGCTGAGTGGGTAGGAGCTGCGGTAGCTAAACCAGGCCGAAAGGGGGCTTTTTCAGCCGTGCT